GCTGCTGCTGCTGCTGCTGCTGCTGCTGCTGCTGCTGCTGCTGCTGCTGCTGCTGCTGGGCACTTGTGCAGCAGCAAGGCAGCAGACAGTTTTGTCTTTGTTTAAAAGGGTTTCGTGAGCAGCAAGAAGATTAGGGTTTAGAGAAGGCCGCCGCAAGCAGCAGCAAGAGAGAGGAGACCAAACCCACAGCTGGGCAAACCCGCAACCCCCTGCAAACACAAACCCTAAACCCTAAACCCTAAACCCTAAACACTTAACCCTGAACGCTTTAAAGGGTTTGCTGGCGTGAACCCTAAGACTTAGAAGGGTTTGGGATTTAGGATGTATGGTTTACGGGTTCTCGCTCAGGCTTTAGGGTTTAGGGTTTATGGCCTAGGGTTTAGGGTTTATGGCCTAGGGTTTAGGGTTTAGGGCTTGTACAGCTGCGAGCCAGCTGATAAAAAGGCTTGCGGAAGGAGGGCAGATGATGTGTGTCGTCAATCAGCAGCAGCAGCAACGGAGCCCCGCTCTTGCTGCTGCTGCAGCAGCAGCAGCAGCAGCAGCAGGCAGCAGCGCGTTGCGCTGCATGCGCCCGCAGCAGCTGCTCCACCAGCTGTGGGGCCCTTCGCCTCGCGGCCTTCCACTTGGAGGCATCAAACCCCACCGATCCCATCGATCCCACCGATCCCATCGATCCCGCTGTGGGGCCCCACACCTGCTGCGGCTCTGCTGCTGCTGCTGCTGCTGCTGCTGCTGCTGTTTCTAAGGCATCCACTTCCAGCCAAACCACCTCCAAACGCCGGCAGCAGCTGGGATCGATGGGATCGTGTCTGGGATCGTCTCTGGGATCGTCTCTGGGATCGTCTGTGGGGTCGTCTCTTTTGGGATCGTCTCTGGGATCGTCTTTAAAATAGTCTCTGGGATCGTCTCCCTTGGGATCGTCTCGGAGCCTCAGAGCTGCTGCTGCTGCTTCGCGGGGGCCCCCTGCAGCAGCAGTTTGTGGGGTTTTTTCTTTTCGGCTTTTGGGGGGCGCCTCTGCTGCTACTCTGGGATCGTGTTCAGTGGGATCGGTTTGCTGCTGCGGCGCTGCAGCACTGCAGCAGCAGCAGCAGGCGCTGCTGCAGCAGCAGCACCTTTGCGATGCCCGCCTCTTGCAGGCCACATTCACTGCTTCTGCTAGCGCAGCAACAGCAGCAGCAGCAGCGGCAGCAGGCTCTGCTGCTGCTGCTGCAACTGCTCCCTCTTGGGATCGTCTCCTCCCCTCACTGTTAAAGCTAGCTGCTGCAGCAGCTGCTGCAGCAGCTGCTGCAAGCTGCCTAGCTAGCGACGATTTGCCGCTGCCGGGGACCCCGCAGAGCAGCAGCAAAGACACCGCAGACCTGCCGCAGCTGCTGCACTCGAAGGGCCTGCTGCTGCTGCTGCTACTGCTGCTGCTGCTGCTGTAGGCGCTCCTGCTGCAACCGTTGCTGCTGCTGTTGCTGCAGCTGCTGCTTGGGGGTTGCGGGTCAGGGCCGGAGCTAGATATGCGCATTTGCTACTGCCGCTGCTGCTGGAAGCCCTGTTTCAGCAGCTGCTGCAGCTGCTGTTGCTCCTGCTGCTGCTGCAGTAGCTTCTGCTGC